AGTAAAAAAAAAAAGGTAACACCGCAAGCTGATGGGGATTGCTGTAAGCTGAAGCGTTGACCATACCCTGACTCAAACGCCCGCAAAGAGTATAAAGGTACTGTAAAACAGTGTGATAATAAAAATATTCAGCTTTTCAGTGTTCCCCTATCAATTACCAAAGCTGCAAGAAGACCCGTTCTGGTCGCCACTGTTAGCGCCAGATCCCACATTTTAGGTGTCACTACCGCCTTTAGTGTGGTATTTTTTTGCACACAGGAGCGGTTCTAAAACGCATGCCGTGACAATTATGTCCGTGCTGTTGCCCGTAGAGTGCGCATAGGATTTAACTATTCGGCTCTAGTCCACTACACATGACTGGCCGTGCCAGTATCGGATTTCAATGCCCTCGAGTTGTTTTTTTTAAATTAAAGACAATGCATTCAAAGATCTTAGTGTGATGGTCTAATCGCCCCACACGGAAGTTCAATACAATACTGACCATACAAATGGGTGATGTGATTTTATTACTCTCTGCTGTTATTAATCAAAATCATGTGGTTCCGTTATCCTGGAGGTGTCCATGTTTTTCCAGATACGGAAGCTTCCGCACAAGAACAACAACTGAAATATCACCTCCATCCCACAGCTCAGTTGGTTAGAGCGCCTGCATTCTGATTCCCCCGTGGGTTCGAGTCGCTTTATGCGTTCATTGTCTTCCTCTGGCTGGCATGGCTTTATAATAGTGCAGGCTTTCAATAATGCAGGCTTTATGATATCAGGGGCAAATATACATTCAATCATTGTTCGATTGTTCGACTTGAATCGCTCGTTGTTTTTGGCAAGTCATAAATCAGTTCGCCTTCGGTCATTTACATCAGTTTAAGCTGGCTTACGTATCAAGGACACCTGTTCCCCATCGTAGAGGCAATGTAAGACGGTCGGACGGAAAACATTCGAATAACCATCAGTTGACAGACTATGTATCCGACCATCAGATCAAATTATAGAACACATTTATACACACGCACATCACTTTTCCAACCAATTCGACACTATGACAACATCAAACGTTGAACGACTCTGCTATCATTGAGTGGTTGAACAGGTCCAAACTAATGCATGACCCAGGCTGTTGTTTAAATCAAGCATTCTTTCTCTGGAACTTGTAAACGGCGCTTGTTCGGACATGGTTTTGGAATCAGTGTGTTTTCAATCAGGTCAGAGCGCAGTAGTCTTTCATATTGGGTTTTGCGCACATGCTGGTCTGGCGCTCCCTCCTGCGGACGCACGTCCCGAGTCGTGATAGATATCGTGGTCCTTCTAATATAGGCCGATTTTCTGAGCCAGCAGTCTCTGCATGGGCGTTTAAAGTTATACACCATATTAGTGCGCTTTAGTTGGTTTTGGTCTTCCGGTCAGGTTGTTTTTCATCACACAGGTAGCTAGTTGTCTCACTCCTGCTGTAGATGGTAAGACTTATTTCAGTGTATTCGTCAGTCGGTGTGATGCTTTCCCTGACAGTGTTCTGCAAAACTTTTCCGTCCACCTTATATGACGGGAACATTTGATTTCGATAAAAAGGTCGATGTACCGGTTTCTTGTCGAATCGTTTCAGGTTTTGTCCATTCACGGCGGACCTTATCTCTTCGTCAATTGCGCTGTTGGAGTAGCCGTTAATAATGAGCAGTTACTTGCACCTTTCAAGTCCGTGGTGCGTCCTGGACCACTTGGAGCAACATTTTAGAGCGCGTTGTACAAACGAACGGATAACGGCCGTGCGGTAACACTCGTTCGCATAACGTCACCCGCTTGCCGCGTTCATACATCAGTAGGTTTACGGCGCACTTTCGCCACAAGAGGTCCATCACTCGTATCCACATCGATGCCATGAAATGGTAAACGGTTGTCGACACTCAGGTCGGTTGTAAATCGTAACACCGATTGTCGATGCATACCGACCGCTAGTTGGTGAACGTGGGCCTCGTCTGTGACATCAACAAATATGCCATTGACATCTCTGCGGTATAAAGGGCTTAAAAATTAGGTTTTTGAGGACTAGTTCTCCAGTCAGCACATATACATATAAGCAAACAAGCATCCCAGCGGTGACCCATTTGCGACGCCATCTACCTGACGGAAAAGTTTTCCGTTTGGGCAACGGAAGGGTGCCTCTGTGGTGCAGCATCGAAACATTTTTTTCGAGGATAGAACGTGGGTTTCAGTGGTGGCCTGCTTGGGTGATTCTGCACACAGTACAATATAATGTGGATTGTTTCATCCCGAAAAACTCTGTTGCCAGAAGTGGGAGAGAACCCCGTCAATAGAAACCGTCAAGCACATCGTGCAAACGACCTGATAAACGGCCTTGAGGTAACGCTCTAGGCATTCGCTAGTTGTGTTCATGCATTTACCAGCATTGGTAGGTCTATGGTGCGCTTGCCGTCACATAGGAAACCCGAGAAACCCTTAAAACACACTGATCCATCCTGCCCCAAAATACGCCGACAAATGGGCCCCTCTCCCGCTTTGGTCCACTTTCTTCTCGAAGTATGGGGGCATGTTGTTCCTCAAGTTGGGGCTGGATACCTTCCACCTGAATAGGAAACTACACCCCTGGCTGCAGGGCAGCTGGAAAATCGGAAATATTCGTACAGATAATGAGCACAGCCTTAGCGCGCGGTGCTTATGACCAGCAAGCCACCCGGGTGGAACTTAACCTTGAATATGATTATGTGCTTTACACGCTTACGCAGCTAACCATTCCAATGAAATCGGTGTGGCAATTCAAAACGCTTCAGCGAGAACTGCTGCAGGCTTGGGTGGCCGGGACACCGGGCTGCCTCTGTAGCGATAGTTAACAAAATACGGGGGGTCACCAAGTGTGTGCAGGTACTCATCACGCTGAATGCGTAAAACGAATGGTGAGTGTATGCTCAGTGAACTAAGGATAATTCAAGATTGTGCAGGGACTCGCAATTTTGCATGGTCACTCATTATGCTAATTGCAAGGTAATATTCCCCGGAGTTAAAGTGCTTTCGGCGTCAAAAACGAAAACGCACACGTGCCAGCTGTTGGAAATGTGCGGCCTAAGCATCATTCTATCTCTTTACCAGCAACACATAGATTATTACTGGTGGGGCACCAGGTCGCGGGTACATATGCGCGAGCCAATTTGGTATCATTTAATGGCAAGCAAGATCAAATGTTCCAAAAGCTTTTGTCCAACAAAACCACTTGAATTCAATAGGCATAAGAAGTCAATGTTGCTATGCATGACTGTGAGTTCTAGGTAGGAGATGAGACCACAATTTTCTTGAAATTTAGCATTGGCCCACTCGGAGTTGACTGGAAAGAAGTAACCACAGTGATTATGCCCATACCTGCTCCCCCCCCCCCCCCACAATGATGAGATAACTCTGTCACCCCCATGCCTATGTGGGAGCTGGCCAGCATGCTCAGCCACGTGCTGGTTGTCAATTGGTTTCCTGAGAGGTTAAGAAGCACTGTTTTGCAGGGACCTGTATTACACAAGGCAAGGTCATCTTTTGTCATAATGCAAATCTGGCTGCATCTTTACAACCTCACACATACCTGAAAGATGGACTCTATTTCCATGAAATCAATGGTAATGGGGTACCACCATGTGCAGACTTCATCTAGCACCTGACCCTACAGAAATAATTGTTTTCAAACAGACAGCACTGCCAGCATTCAGACCATAGGGACCTCGCACAATCCTAACTTCAAACAAAAAAAAAACTGCAATCTTATGAGAGTATACAGATGTGCATTCAGGTTATTCTTTCCAACCATTTTTGTCATCCCCAGAAAATTTTTAAAAATAGGTTGCAAGATGCCAAAGCTAGTCCTATCCTAACAACACAGATGCATCAGTGAAAGCTAAGGTCTGTTTAATGATTGCTGGTTGGTTGACCAGACAGCCAAATATGATTTCACAGGATGGTCCCCTGAAGGCTCGTCTACCTTCTGCATTTGTTATGCTGAGGAATTTGTGTGAGGTTTAGAGATACAGTAGTGATGATCAGTCAATCTAACTTCTCCTAATCCAACAAAAACAACATTTTTTGATACATTACATGCAACCACTGCCAGGAAAGTATCAATTAGCCTCAGGTTGGACAGGTAGGTGCAGGAGCAGGTGCAGGAATAGGCTTAGAGTTGCAGGTAAGGTTACATTACATTATGTAATGCAACCAAATAAAATGTGAGTAACATCATATAAATTATATCCCATCATTAATTTCATCTATTTGCTGATTTCCCTGTGATGTAATAAACAATTTGAAAGATGCAACCATCAGCTCACGTTCACATTAGTCTCATCCTTGATTTAGAGGCAAACATGGCGACTGGTGCTCGCAGCAGCTAAATGGCAGGAGCTGCACATGTTGGTTTTAAACAAATATTTAATATTGTGGGAAAACCAATACTGCATATCTGTAAAAGCATGATAGGCATGTTCATATTGCCTGTTGAATATTGCCTATCAATCTCAAACAGATGGCACCATTCACAGTAAGAGAGGCAACAAAAAATGGCTGTAACAGATAATGGGTGATGGTTGATGAGTCAGCTCAGCATGGGCAGGTGCTGCTATCCACCCTGCTGTGTTGAACAAGAAAATGTCAGGCTATGTTCAGTTCAAAATATCACATCCAAAACATTGTCAGCCCTATTAGGCAAGATGTCATTTTTTATAGGAAATCCTCCTTAGCTCAAGTGCCCAGCAAAACATACAATAGTAAGCAATCAATAGGTAAATCCAGCAAGATCATACAGAACATCCAAGTGCTGCTTTGAGGGAAAGTTAAAGGCCATTTAGGTAGAGTTATATAGTTAGGCATGCAGGTGGGTAGGTACAAAAGAATGTTGGTGCGAATGCATGAAGGTAGGTGGATACTGTGCCTAGGTAGCTTAGAATGCGCCATAGTACCAGGGTATTCAGGATGGATGCAAATGACTCACACAGGCAGATCACAACTAAATAAGCACGTACCTGCTTACCATTTATGCATTCAATTCAATGCGACATTTTTCCTTCGCTTGGCATTTGAAATTGGGAGACATGGGCAACGCATGGACAGCACGCAATGAATAGCCCAGCGTACAACACACCCAAGGCCGCCTTTACCTCCCGCCAGCAGACCTAGCGCGCGAGCACCCACGGACAAACGCGCGCAGATCACAACTGATGCAAAGTGCAAAGATCGTGGCAGAGCGGTAAAGCCGTCCGATGATTCTCGTTTCATGCCGGCTTAATGTTTGCGTGACATCACTGGTACTGAGACTTCAAGGCGCGGCGGGATGTCAGATGTCGGACGTAACGCTGCGAACAAACGAAGCATGAAATACTCAAATAGATGATGAGAAAACCGCTATCAGGACTCATTCGCTATGGGTGGAGTTGGGGGGGGGGGGGGGGGGGGGGGGGGCAGGAGCATCGGATGTCTTCGTCCCCATGACGAGCAAGCGGTTGATAGCAGGATACCGGCCTCACGTGCCGATCAGAAGAGACGAGTGAGTCCAGTGCTTGTTCCCTGGATCCAACCTTGCATGACTTCTATACTGCTTAAATTAGAGACTTTTATAAATTATACAAAGATTTATACACACATTGCGCTTAATTAAGATAAAGTGAGCTAGATCTGGTGAGAAAAAATAGGGGGTGGATTGTTGGGCTTGCGTTTTGGTCCCCCAATAATTTACAAAAATTGACACCCCCGACGACCAGAATGGTAATAGTAAGAGTGGCGAGCGTGGGGGGTCTGCTGTCTACTGCACCTATTTTTTCACGCTAGATGCACGAGATGCGCCATGCTCGGTCCGTGTCGTTCTTTATTGATCAGTCCGTGCCTGCTTGTGGGGCCGGTCGTTCTCGGTTAATTTCTGCCTACATTTCGGTGCACTCGGTCTGTGCCTGTCCCTCTGGCCGCCCGTCCTCAGTCCGCGCCTGAGCGCGGGGCCAACAGTGCTCGGTCTCTGTCTGTATAATCACCGTGAGTGTCGAGCTACGTGTGTTGCGATCTTGAGATGTTTGTATGTTGCTATGTTTAGCGTGTGTGTGTGTGTGTCATTGGGGCTTTACGACGCACTCAGCTGCTGAGGTTATGTGGCGTCGCCTGCCTCTCACCCTGGTAGGATGGGCGAGCACCGCGGGGAATCGAACCCCGTGCCTCTGGTTTCCCAGACGCGCCGTGGTCAACGCAGACGCGTTAACCACTACACTACCGGCACCCCGCTATGTTTAGTGTCGAAGTGGAATGTGGGAAGAGCGATATATTGTCAAATTGGGATTCAGAGCACGATATGCACCTGGAAATCAGTTTTTTACCGGAATATTGCTAATTGTAAAACTGATAGATGTCTCGCTGCGTTCCATACGAGTGGCAGTGCGCTCCAATAATGGCATTTATTTCACTCCAGGGCATAGCTTGTTTGCCCACGACCACTCAAACGTCGCGATGGTGTGCACCCACACACCGTCATGTGTGTGAAATCACTTGGACAGCATGCAAGCCCGTGTGGACCTGGTACATGTTTGGCTGTGTTTTGGTGTCGGTCGCCATTGGTTCACTCGCCCGTGGCAACAGTTGTGCCTCGTAACAAAACACGACCTTTCCTTTTTAATACAACCGCCTGTAACGTGTACTACTCAAATTCGCAAAGACAACATGACGATCAGCACGCAGCTTCGCATGCTGGCCGGTTCCTGCACAGGCACAAGAGTAATCAAAATATTCTCCTAGATTGGAGATAGACATTTCGATCACCTCTTCCTAGTCAACGCCCATCGGACCAATGCTAAATTTTATGAAAGTTTGGAGCCATGTCCTCCCCAGTACCCGCGTTCCTGGGTACTCATTAAATTCTAACGCTTATTGAATTTAAACGACTTTGTTAAATATAGGTTCGCAAAGCACATGATCACGATTGTCTCTTAATTATATATAATCGGTTTGCGTATGTGCACACTTACCAGCAATAATCTACCTAAGAAGGTATAAGGAAGACCAATGTTCAGACTGCATCTTCCGAGCAGTTTACGTGTGCACGTTTTGATATTTCACGTTGATAGCATTTTAACCGCTAAACATGTTAATTTGCAAAAACGCATCATCATACTCACCATTCATTCTACGCATTCAGCCTCCTGGTTTATACACCTACCCCAATTTCTTTATCAGTATACAGGCAGACCGATGTTCCGGCCACCTGTGCCAACAGCAATTCTCGCGAAAATGTTTTGAATTGCCACAGCGATTTTATTGTAATGGTTGGCTACATAGACTTGTAAGGCACATCATATTGAAAGTTTAGTTCCAAGCGATCGGCTCGCTGGTCATATGCACCGCACTCATAGAATTCGTTCTTTACCTGCACAAAGATTTCCGATTTTCCAGCTGCTCCGCAGTCAGGGATGTAGTTTCCTATTTAGTTAGAGGTCTCCAGCCCCAACTTGAGACCCAGCCGCCCCCCCCCCCTTCATCTTTGAGGAGAAAGTGGATCAAATCCAGAAAAATTCGTTTTTCACCGTATCTTTTGAGTAGGTCGCCCGCCCCGACTCGCGGCGCCATGCCCCACGGCTGGCGGCCGCGGCGCATCGAATTCTCAGCACCAGTGACGTCAGCGCCCCGTACAGGGTTGGTAGAAACCCAACTTCTTGCAAACTTTAAGTACGGCATCCCCCTGGAAGACTGCATCTACTGGATGAGCATCCGGGACCTTACCTGTACACCTATCGATTGCTAGTTTATGTGCCGTCGAAGCGTAGGAACTTCAGTTTGGTTTTGCACTTACAAAAGCTTGATATAAGGGCGTGATTGGAGTTGCAATGTTTCGTCTTGTAAGGATTCATCTGCAATGTGGCATACTATCCTAGAATGTTATATAATGAATATATATGTTGGTGGAACTTCGTGTATTTCATGGAGGGGCTGGACGCATGAGCTTTGCCCATGCTATTCCTGAGGCGCATTTGTTCACGAATGTTGCCTTTTCTGCGATCATAATTTGGACCAACGAAAGTCCAAGCCCGAGTCCAAGAAAACCAAGGGATGAAATTGATTTGTTGGCATTGTTAGGCCAAAAGTTTGTACGTTGAGTTTACAACCTTCGATATGTCAGGAAATCCTGGCTGAATGTCATTGTTCTGCTTAACGAGTGTATTGAGGATATTCAATATTATGAGCTGCGCTCATCCTCAAGAGCTCGTCTGTTGAAGATGAGCACGGGACAGCAGATGAACGTCGATATTTTTTGTCGCGCTTCTTCATAGAGGTTTCAAGCTTCCGGGAAACCCAAGAAACCGACTTTGCATCCTGTTTCGACTCAATGACAGATCATTTACTGGAGAAAAACCAACGGCTGTTTGGCTACGGCACCCGCCTGTCAGTGCATACCACTGCACGTGCTCACAAATGGTGCCGCTTCGAGACGCTCCAGGAAGCTGCGATAAAGCAGCGATTTCAAACGGTTGTTGGACTTCCTCCGCAATTGTCAGCTACTGGGGCTAAAGAATATACTTCATCGAATGACGGGATGACAGCGCTCCAGGACTGTCTACATGTAATGGCCTTACCCTGCATGTAATCGAACAATGCAGGCAGGGGTATATCCTGAGGGTGGTTAGGAGAAGACATGGGGCCATGCGGCCCGCCTCTTGGGTCCCTCATGAACCACCCACTTGGGCCACACCAAAACTTTATTTGGAAACCACACAGCCTTTATTTGTAAGGGGCCACAAATTCCAGAGACGCCGTAAAGGGTTCCACATTTTCATTTTCGAGAGGCACCAAATTACAGAAGCAAAACTCTATATATGCCTTGTTTGTTTGACAAAATCCTGGACCGGCTCATTTGGCAAAGGAGCACTAAAACCATCGTTTCCGACACCATCACTTTATGTTCAAGAGACGCCCAATTCCGGAAGACATCACAAAGGGCGGCAAACCTTCATTCTCAGCAATGTTATGCCTCCCACCCCAAGCGAAATCCTGAAACAGTTGCTCAGGCAAGGTGTACCAAAATCTTTATTTCGAGTCTCCATGAACTTCATTTTCGAGAAGGGTTTTCGTGCCTTTCACCGTGACGAAACTCCTGATCGGTCGCTTCTTTGGCGCTTAGGAAAGTGGCACCAGCAATTGTCATTTTGGGGAGCAATAATCTTTCTTTTCCAGACACGTCCAACTCCAGGGCACCTCAAAGGGTCCCGAAACATTTATCTTTAACGGACAACAAATCTCAGGGAAATGAAACGCATTAGAAACCATGGATCATCCATTTCGGTGAAAGGACACCGAAACCTTCATTTCACAGCACCAAAACATAGATTACCATCTATTTACCATAGACAAGTCCGTACGGACCATTGAAAGCGCCCCGAAACGTTCACTTTAATGGACACCACGATTTCTTTGCGGTACATTCTGACCAACTTGAGGATCGACCCCTTTTGCAAATAGGCACCACAAAACCTTCATTGCGGGACATCAAAAAAGTTGTCTAAGCCCGCACCCAATTCCAGGAGGCACAACAATGGGTTCCAAAGCTTTGAATTTCAAGACACAACAACGTTCAGGGGCACCACAATGCTCGTACTCCCCATGGGGAAAATCCATGATCGACCCATTCGGCAAGACGTCACCAAAGCTCCTATTTTGAGACAGCATAACCTTTGTCTTTAGCAGGTACTAAGTCAAAACGGGTCACTTCAAGTACCCCAGCATCTTTATTTTCAAAGAGCACCAAAATCATTATCTGCTTAACCTGAGGCATGAATTTCAAGGGAGGCAGCGCGGAGGTCCCCAGGTCTTTTAATTTCATGTTGGGTCAAGCGCCAGAGGGCATACAAATTATTTTTACCATGAAATTTATTTTTACCACATTTTTATTTCCAACCCGAACTAAGGGTGCAAACATCAGTGGGATATGGAAACGTAACCCATCTTAGGCTATTGGGTCGCGAAGCCCTGAGGAGCCCTTTAGGCCTCGAGGGAACGACTATCAAGGGTCCGATCGAAGGGTTCGAAGGGTAGGCCAGGGGATGATAAGACCACAGCCAGTATGCAACCCCAAGCACTCAGTCAAGCATCGGTCTTGGCCTTTGGGCCTCTTTTCCAAGTCGGGACAGGGCCAGGCCCGCAAATGTTAATCCGAAAGAT